AATTTCACTAATTATTCATTTTCATTTCATAATAATTGATATAAAGTAAAGTATATGGTCACATGATCATACTGTACCCACATTTCTCTGGTTAGTGAATCAACTAGATGCTGCCTTTCATGCAGATAACGTTTTTGTTTTCTCTACGGGGATTAACCCACCCGGGCACCGGTCAATGACCCACATTAGGGCCTGGGGGGGGGGCAAAAATATAATAATAATAATAATAATAATAATACAGGTAATAAAAATAAATAATATTAATAATAATAATTATAAAATATCATAAAAATAAAAAAAATTAATAAAATTCAATAGTAAGAAACAATTTACTGCATGTGTGTTGTGTTGTCAAAGTAAGAGAAACAATTGAGACCCTGCAACTGTGTGTAAATGAGGCAGAAAGTAAGATCAGCAACCTGGGACTTGGTCACAATTTTTTTGATTCCATATGGCAACAGGGTCTACCATTAGACAACACATTATGCTTCCAATATCTTCCCAGGCGGTAGTACCTCCCTGTTTGATAGCTGCCTACTACCTGTACAGTACTTTACAAGCTAATACAGGTAGTGTAACAATAATACAGTAGTATAAATAAAGTCATACCTGATAACAGTAAAGGTACCTGATAACCAAAGACCATACCAACAAGAACAGTTAATGGCCCAATCAGCAGTACTATACGTACTGTACAGTGTCAAGAGCTTGTGTAGCTGATGACCCAAGCGTTAAGTCCACAGACCACAAAGGTTTCAATGCCAGTACAATACAGTATAGTACTGCAATGTTTAGTACTATAGTTTAGTAATGCCAGGCTGACCATCTGACCAATATACAGTATACTGCATATACCATATATAAAACTATATCAAGGTGATGGTGATTGGTGGAACCCAATGAGAAATATTTAGATACACTGGTGACTATCCTAGTTCTATGTCGTTCCTCCTATTCAACGTTACTTAAAAGTGAAAGTTCATATAGTACTCAACCAACTTCAGTATGACTGACCACAAATGAAGGTAAACTCAAAGAGACGGAAACCACAAATCTACCGCTCAGTTTCATGTGGTTTCTCAATAATTAATGCTCTGTTTTTTTAAACAGGATTAGCCCACCCGGGCACAGGTCACTGACCCACATCGGGGCCTGGGGGCGAAAATGTAATAATAATAACAATAATAATTAGTTCTAAGTAAATAAAATTCATAATACAAAATTAAAAATAAAATAACAATAATAATAATAACAACAGATAACAATAATAATAACAAAGAAAGAAATAAATAAAAAAATAAAAAAATATTAATAGTGAGAAATGACATATGTATGTTGTGTTGTCTAAGTAAGAGAAACAATTGAGACCCTGCAATTGTGTGTAAATGTGGCAGAAAGTCAGATCTGGGACTTGGTCACAATTTTCGTGATGCCGGTGTTAAGAAGTACAGTTAATACCAGTATTTATCACTCACAGTATTATAATAGTCTCTCCTCGACTTACGACGGGGTTCCGTCCAGACCACCAGGTCATAAGTCGAATTGGTCGAAAGTTGAAAGGGCAAAAATAATAAATTGAATTTCTAAAATGGGTGTCTCTTTTTCTTCTCGGCACCACGAGAACTCTCACTTTTACGCTTGCCAGCCATTTTAAAGGGAATTACAAACGAAAATTTTGCCAGTACACAGCGCGATCACTAACGTCGGAACTAGAAAATACGTAATTAGAAAAATAATTTATACGATCACGGCGGTCGTATGTCCAGGTTGTCGTAAGTCGAGTATGTCGTAAGTCGAGGAGTACCTGTACTGTATAGTTAAAAACTTCTGTAGAAATAGCTTTTGTTCTTTCGTTCATCCAGGTTCCTATCGACTATCCTAATTAATGTACTGTAGTAAAATATATGAAAAATATGTTCAGTGTACTGTACTGTACATATGATAACTAGAAAAATCTGATTATAAGTTAAAAATTAGAATAAAACTGCATGCCCACTTGAATTTTACAAATCTGTACAAATTGTATAGTTGTGTACAAAAAATAATTTAGTAGGGAGGGAGCGTGAACTGCATCTGCCTCATAATTAATCCCCCCCCCCCAAAAAAAAAAAATTGAAATGTGGAAAGAAAATTGCAGACTTTCAATTAGCACCTCTATGCAACAGTTCCAAGTCTCCACCTACCCCTACCCTCCCATACACCACCGCTCTCCCTCCCTGCCTGCCTGCAGAATTCTTTTGTCCACAACTGTACATATTGAACAATATTCTAAAAAGTATACAATAGCGTAAACAAAATTGGATACCGGTACAGTACAGGGGGTCCCCGGGTTACGAACGAGTTCCATTCCTGAGGACATTCTTAAGTTGGATTTGTACATAAGTTGGAACACATGTTATGTGCAAACCGTACTTACAGAACAATGTTTAAAATCCCACTATATCATAGCCTAAGTCCTTATATACATCTAAAATCACTTAATTAAAAGAAAAAATAGAATGACAAAATACAGTAAATGAAAGTAAAAAATAATTCATCAGGTAAATAAAATACTGTAAATTTTAAGTTATACCCCATTCATATCAGCGGATGTTCATAAGTCTCCCTGCACTGTACTGGGTATTTAAACCATACTATCCCAATTCCCAGACCAGTAACTACCTATTATAGTACAGTATGCACTGCATTGCAGTACCCAAAGTGGTGCATTCTTCTAGGTTTCTAAAGAGACAAGTGCATAAGTGCACTATCTTATAGGTTAAGCAGGTTTATTATTTACTTTCAACAGAAGGAGAAAGGTTAACATGGCATCTTCGTCCAAGCAGCATGTATCATATTTATACTAACAAAAACATCGTATGAATTTAGATGATAAACAGTGCTTAAACTTTAATATGCAATAATTTGTCCACGCAATGACAGGAATAATATAAACACGTTTGTTATGATAATGGTTAATATTGACGTCTTTCCCATTGTAGCCTAATTTGTTTTGATGGATCTTCTCACTATACTGTACTGTATTTTCATCGCTGAGTTTACATACGATATCCATTTCTTGGGCACATGTTTCATTTGGTAGATAATTAGGCCCCAAGGCTCGCGACACTACTTCGTCTTTTACGATGATAAAATGGTGAGGTGGCCCAACCGACGCTCAATTTTTTCTCGCTCACTGTTTGTTTATGAGCCACCCGGTCCGAGAGGTTTCTTTCACGTCCACAAAAAAATTTAAAATTACACCATATCATAGTAAGTTCTTTCTGTTTAATTTACTTGGGGTCCTAAATCCACTACAGTAGGAAGTTAGGTAAGGTTAAGTAGGTATGCTTGATTAGGTTGATGCAGTCTTCTAAAAAACCTTCGGCCCTTTGTGTTTTTTATCAACTAAGGTTAGGTTAAATGTAATTTAGAAAAAACATTTTAACACATTTGCCCAAACTACAACAAACTACAACAGTGTCCATTGAAAAACACAGTGAAATTGCAGCGATTTTACATGAATTTTCTATGAAAAAATAGGCGACGGGTAAGTTATCAATAATTTCCAGGATAATACTGTATGTACTGTACTGGTACCTGTATTGCTGCTCAAAAAATAAAATAAAAGTACAGTACATTACAAGTATTCTTTTCATATTTCTAACACCAAATTCATTTAAATCAAGTACAGTGCAGTACAGTTGAATAACAGTTTTGAATTACTGATCAAATGGTGACCCCTCGGGAATGAATCACCTTTTCAACAGTAAGGTGCAGTACCATGTTAGCACTCTTGCATCACATCTCTGTGACCTGGTGTAGTGGCTTGGTAACTTCCCCAGTCTGAGTATTCTTCTTTGCTAATAATGCACGATATCTCTGAGACCGCTGCACTCTACAGTACAGTATATGGAGTCTAGTAGCCCTCCCAATTTAAATAGGTCAGAAAAACAAAAATTATTCACAGATCAATACAAATTAGCAATCTATATAAGACCTAATCTAACCAAACTAGAGGGGCTTGAACTCCGCATGTGGACAAATCTGAATCTCAAAATCTTACACCTCATAAACAGGTCTAAGAGATATCGTACATGTACATTATTTGCAAGGCAAATTCTCAGACTGGTGGAGCCCCAAGACTGCAACAATGGGTTTGATTTCCGCTTGGGCATATGACAAGGTCCTGTGTGACTATACAAAACTCGTAGCTTTCCTCTGAATGCTCTGATTTCCTCCTGTACTATCAGAACCCATGAACTGAAGACAGGGATTAGGATATAAACAAAATTCCAGAGGAGCTCCATCAGTAGCAGTGTAATTCTGAATTGTTTTAGCAGTCAACATACAGTATGTTTCCAGAGAATTACTGAACTTTAATAATTACTCAGCCTTTAACAACGCTCAGCAGTTCATTGCTGCTTAAATCAAACAGTCCAGTGATGATTTGTTTTCAATCACCGCTGGCAACACTGAATTATACAACCATTTTTTATTACTGTTAATGTCATTTATGTCCATCTTTTTTCTCTGAATATATTTTAACTTCTAAAACATCTATGATCAACGTCTAATATGGTAAATTTATTATAAATTTAGCCTTAAACTGGCAGAATTCTCCTGGAATTTTACCAAGTTATGAACACTGCAGGCCAATTAAGATGTAAATTGTGAGTATTTGAGTGATGTAACCTCCTCCAACATTACTTATACTAATACCTCAATATATGCAGCTCGCCCTACTACACGTTTAAGGGCACTGTCCCCATTAAATCTGCAAACATTCCTCTAATTCTTTGGCACCATTGGTGTCTTGCAACAGGCACACTGTATCTAATTAGTCATATTCACCCTGTTCCCACCTTCACTAATGACCTGTTCTGTGGTGTTGACTCCACTCATTGATTAACGCAGTGTGTTACCCTCAAATACTAAATCCTAACCAAAAATTTTTGCATTTAACTACTATACCTTCCGTGTTGGCTTAGCTGTCGAGTACACTTAGTGCTGGTACTTACCTTTAGGACGGAATTAACGATAAATGGAGATTTCTAGTGGAGTAAATCCTCAATTACAGCGAGTTAATGTCTGTCAAAAATGGAGATAATCCATGTTAGGAGTGTGACAGGTGATCCTCCCTCCACTACCACAACACAACTGATGTATACCCAGGTACTTCACTCGTTCCTTTATGATAAACAAAATATAATACATCAACACCCGGCCCTTACATTATTTGGGCGGTGGTTATAAGTTTATGTGTATTATTTATTGATGCTGTTTTGTCAGTTTGGTTGATTCATTATAAGAAAATATTCATATTGTAATGTTAAAGGAATGATGGACTATCCTGCCCTCTTAAGGTGCTAAACATAGTAATAAACTAAACTAGTTGGGCAAATATGAGTTAACTTGATTATTATTGTCTCGAAATTGTAGATTTTACCTTAATATTTAATTAAAAGTTTCACATGAAAGTGATATTATTATTTTATATGCATTAAGCTAAATACATAAAAATTATGTTAGATGTTTATTATTTAAATGCTGTTTTAATCTATAATTCCACAGTGGAATATTAAAATATATATATAAATTTTTTAACTATAACTTCTGCCATGAGTAATTATTGCATAATAAAAATTAAACATCATATAATTGAGCTTCAGTGAAATGTATTGTTTTCGTCCTTCAGGAGACTGACTCAAACGTAAACAAATAATGGTTGACCTTAAAACAGTGGTCACTGGTTGTTGTGTAGTTAGTTATTTACGGAGGTAAAATAAATGGTTTTCAGTCGACTTACACTTGAAAAATAAGCGTTATACATTTATTCATCGACGGTAATTATTTACGACTAATTCGCGGCCGAAATTGATCGAAAAAACGATTATAAAAACGCTGGATTTTCACTCATTTTATTGTGCAAATGGGGTCCGAGTAATGTAGCCAAGTGTAGCCGCAATGAAGTCAAATAATGGTCCTACATGAATAAATCAGACTGCCAATCACTTCTCGACTAGTATTTGGTGTCAGAAAGTCACAAAAAATTGGAAAACTTAATTTAATCTGAGTTAATAGATCAAGTGCATGTACCTAACCAAACCTAACCTAACCTAACCTAACCTAACACAACACAACTCAGATTAAATTAAGTTAACCAATTTTTTTTACTTTATGACACCAAATAATAATCGAGAAGTGATTCACAGCCCGATTTATGCTTGTACGACCATCATTTGACTTCATTGCGGCTACATTTGGGTCATTACTCGCTCCCTCGGTACGTGCACGCGATCTATTAACTCAGATTAAATTAAGTTTACCAATTTTTTGTGACTTTCTGACACCAAATACTAGTCGAGAAGTGATTGGCAGTCCGATTTATTCATGTAGGACCATTATTTGACTTCATTGCGGCTATATTTGGGTACATTTGGGTAATTAGTCGGACCGCTTTTAATTTGTGCAAATGTGTTAAATAATGGATATTTTTAAAATAAACGTTACTTAACATTTGAAGAAATTTGCATTAGTGCACACAACTCTGATAGAAAGTCAAAACTATGTTTTTCTATTGTATTTTTGTGTTTTGATTGGTTTTTACCTTGATTTCCGTCGGGAATTGCCAGTTTTTTTAGTTATCAGGGGTTTTGGGTGGTGTGTTTTCCGACAAATTATGGCCAACGAATACAAAATACAAAAAAAATAATACTAGAAAAACAGGCATATAAACTTGACCTAACCTAACCTAACTCTCACCATATGATGGCATCACTTATTTCTTACCTTACTGGCCTGGTTCCGGTTCATCGTTGGATACTGAGATTAGTACTGTACAGGTTGCTGACGCGGATTCTCACTTAACGGGGGGGGGGGGTGTCTCGGGAACGATTTATCACAATGCCACATACGGTATGTTGGTCTTGACGATATTTACATTCGTTCTTACACATAGGACACTTTACTGAGGTCGGGAGAACACCATGAGATCTAAAAAAATTATATAGCTTGTTTATTTTTTTCCCCAAAACTTGCAATCAACTTCGTATAATTGAAGTGACACCCATCGCAGACTTCCATGGTCGGAAGTGAATTTGAATTTCGAAATATGACTCAAAATAAAATTTGAATCTGATTGGGCCCAAAATACTGCAAATTAAACCATAAATAATTTTAATTGGTGAGAAAAAAAACGCTTTTGATTGGCCGTGTGACGTGTACGGGAACGCATCCGTGTGATGATTTATAAAGGGAACACGCAGAGTGGGAGGTTGGGTAGGTGATAATGGCGGAAGATTAATAGAAGAAAATGGAGAAAGATTTGGATGCGCTCTCTCCGTTATTATATGTTTGTGACAGTAATGTAATAGAAGAAATTTATCTTAAAATTAGACGTCTTTTTCGAATGATTATATATTTGGAGTAGGAAAGTTGTGTGCACGAATGCAAAAATACCAACATTTGTGGGTATGAAGAACAGACCTAACCAAACAAGCGGGAGCATCAGTGCTTTTGCAGCCCGAGTGGCGGAGTCATTTGTTGTGATGGCGGGAAAAGTCGAGTCACGTCTTTGAGGAAGTGAATGATGAACAAATTTCTTTCTGGTCTGAAAGCACATGGACTCCCGTAGTGTGGACAGTCTCTATTTAAAGGAACAATTTTAGGGTCTCGTTGTCTTTATCCCTAAATTTGCAAATTACGTCCATATAAGACTGGTGACAACCTTCTCACGTCATATTGAAAACGAAACTGCCTTAAGCCCGGGCAAAAGCACGGCACCAGAGCTCGGCCTCATTACCGCCGGGAAGACAAATTAGTGCACGCCTAGGCACTTAATTATCTATGAAACAAAAAATTTGCACAAGAAATAATTATCATATCAAAACTAACTGATAAAAATAAAGAAAGAAAATAAACTTTAATAAAAATATCTCGTCCGCAGGTTAGTCATAAATATTAACCTCATCGACTGATAGTTAAGAACATTAACTACCAGTAAGGCGTATTGTTTTGAGACTGGCCCATAGCTCAACTTCGGCTGTTACCACGGTAGTGGATGTTTTGCTGTGACCGGCTAAGTTTCTACTAACACTATTTTACCATGCATGCTAGGTAGTTGGGTTAGGTTATTGTAGGTAGGTTTCTTTGGCTGGTTAGGTCAGGTTCTATTAAATTCTAGTAAATATCGCCTCTTTTATAGTGTTAAAAACATCTGTGGAAAAAATTTACAAAATCTAACAACTCCTTCTGGTTAGGTATACAGTATGTATAGCTGCACAACTATTGACTCACGGTAAAATAAATGCCAAATGCCGCCAGTCACGGTCACATATTGTTCTCGTGTTGTTTGCCGGTAATGGACGACTAGCCAATCAGAACGCACTCACAGCAAAATAGTGTTAGTAAGAACTTAGCCGGTTACGGCAAAATATCCGCTGCCTATACTTTAGAGGGCAGCGGTGCATCTAGTTGTTGTATTTTATCTAATGCCAGATGATTTTATTTAGTTGAGATAAACCAGTGCCCTCTAAAGGGTTCCACCTGGTATTTTAATCACTTTCTTCCATTGACAGGGGTCATCGTGTTTACAACCAGTCTTAAAAAAATGAGTCGCGAAGGACACTGCACTACATTGCTTGACAGGGAGGTATGGCGGTAAAATTAACTAATTCCAATATTATAAATTAACCTTACTGCCACACTTCTCTGTCAAGCGCTACAGTGCGGTCTCCTTTGCTACTCAAATTTTTAAAAACTGGTTATAAACAGGACAACCTCCATCAACGGAAAAAGTTAATTAAAACTCTAGGTATCAGACACCCACTTTGTGCCAACAAGGATTGTTGCATTGACAATGGTAGTTAAAAAATTTTTTAATTAAAAATGAATCACTAAGGACACATTACTATTGCCTTTGAGGTGTGGTGGTTATGCAAACTAATATAAATATTATTAGCGTGTCTTACCACGACACCTCCCTGTTGAAGGTTGTCAGTACAATGACCTCCATCTATGGAAAAGGGGTTTTTAAAACCATGGGGAAAATCCTCGTCGAGTACAGTATACTGTATCTTGTATTTTTCACCTTTATTTAAGTTAATTTAAATGAATAAAGGTGCCACCTCACAGGGAGGTTACTTTGGTTCATTTTATGAACAAGAAATTATATAAAATAGCAGTATCTAGTACTTTGCAAGTTCCCAATCCTGCCAAATAATTGCATACTGTATACAAAAAATAATATACAGTATGCATTTGCATGTGATGCCTAGTACAAAGTATTGACTTTTAAGGAACAGACTTTAACTGTGCAGGAGTACAGTTTAGTATACTATTCACCATAGCTTTATTGTTTTGCAGTTTCTATGTCCAAGGATGAATTTTGCTGAGATACTAAGAACAAGTGGGAGCCAGTTAGCATGGTCCCCAGACGGTCGTTTTTGTGCTGTACCTGTAACTGCAAGGTTAGAAATCAGGGACTCTTCCTCTCTACAAGTGTTGATTACATACAACTGCACTGACCTAATCCAGGTACTACAGTATACTGTTTACAATTAGTGTACTGGTAGTTTTATTACAAATGTACATGAATGTTCTTGTTTTATTTTTTGTAAGAGGGAAGGTCTCTACAATACTGTACAGTATATCAATGTATTTAACTCCTTGTGTCTAAGATTCAATGAGAATATCTTCAAGTACTGTAGCAGTATAATCCATTGTCAGTAAAGTGTAGTGTTTTATTACCATCCCACAATAGACTACTCATCAACTTGTTTTGGTTTGATGCAAGTACAGTACCTCATTCTGCACTTGGCTAGGCCTTATAAAGTAACATATGCTATGCTATCCTGTGCTGTATAAACTACAGTATATGATAAATAAAATATAGTATACAGTGTACTCTATATAGTTTAGAAATTTTGTGAGCACCTGTGCTGTTACTGCAGTGTAGAGTATCAAAGATTATATTTTTCACAGGTTTTGGAATGGTCTTCAGACTCCTCCTATGTGCTCACTGGCAACTATAAGCGTTGTGTGACAGAAGTGTGGTCTATTGAGGATCCAGATTGGAAATGCAAGATTAACGAAGGATCCGCTGGGCTTATAAAAGTTTGCTGGGCTCCAGATAGTCGACATATTTTAACCACAGCCGAGTTTTATGTAAGAAAATCACAAAATTGTCAAAAATCAACTCTGGTATAATTGTTTCTTATTTTATGTGGCTATTATGTTTTTCAAAGTTTCGTTGTAGTCTACAGCTCCTCCCCGACTTACGACGGGGTTAAGGACCCAAATCCAGGTCGTACGTCGAAATGGTCGTAAGTAGAAAATGCTTAAATAATTCATAGAAAATCTAAAATGGGTGTCTCTTTTTCTTCTCAGCACCACAAAACTCTCAATTTTAAACTTGCCAGCCATTTTAAAGTGAATTACAAACGAAAATTTTATCTGTGTACTGACGTTGGGACTCGAAAATATGTAATTTGACAAAATTTTGGTATGACTGAGGCAGGTCGTAAGTCGGGGAGGAGCTGTACTTCAAACACTAATGAACAACAGTTACAGGGTTTTGAAAATACTTTTCTGTATTTTAGGATGTGCAATTAACAGGAACCTAAAAATATGTAAGAAGAAAGTCTGATCATATTGTAAAGAACATAAAATATTCTTCACAATGATCAAACTTTATTCCTACTGATTTTTAAGTTCTTATTTATTGCACATCCTAAAATATAGAAATCATTTAGGGTTCTTGAATAAAAGGAAAATAAACTTGTCTAAATATAAGTAACTACATATATGTAGAAGCTTTTTTTCCACTTATTTTACCCACAGTTACGCATCACTGTATGGTCGTTGGTTAGCAAGACAGTGTCATATATAAAACACCCCAAGAACATAGCACAGGGTTTGCAATTCAGCCCAGACCATGATTATTTGGCAGTGGTGGAGAGGAAGGAGTGCAAGGATTACATCTCTCTTATGGAAACTAAATCATGGCATCTGGTTAAGGTAAGTTACAGCTTATAATGGTTTCTTACAGTATTTATCTGCCATTCATTTTAGATGTACCACTTTGTGAGAATATGATGTTTCTCTTATCCCTGCCAGTACAGTATCTTAATCTTTCTATGAAGTCTATGCTTTTATTGTCAAAATTAGATATCGGTTCAGTATGTCAGTATGATTTCTCCAAATACCTGGACAGTACAGTATTGTACCTTCCAGTTACATTAATATCCAGGGCTTTGATATAATACTCTTCTCAAGTGAGAAAAATTACTGTAAAATGATGGTGGTGAATGGTGAAGTCAGTTTTATATATATTTTTCACTTAATGCTCACTATATTTTGATAGATTATATTAACATCTTTTAAATGATATTTGGTAATATAAGGATCACATTTAATAAGTCCATCATTTTTTAATAACTCATAATGAGATGAGTATTATAAATGTTCTGGCTGTATTTCATTTCATGTTTTCAAGATTTGTTACTGCCTTTATGTGTTGATGTTTCTAATGACATTCTACTTTGTTCAGCACTTTGAAGTAGCAACAAGAGACCTAGCGGGTGTTCAGTGGTCAAGTGATGGCTCAGTTCTTGCTGTATGGGAGTCCCCCCTAGAGTATAAAATTCTCATTTATTCTCTTAGTGGGCACTCTTTGGCAACCTACTCTGCATACCAGTGGTCACTCGGTATAAAAGGAGTGTCTTGGTCTCCCTCTAGCCAGTTCCTAGCAATTGGTAGTTACGATCAGAAGGTAAGTGTTTATCACCCAGGTATTTATTCAGTGCCTGTCTTCGGTTGTTACCAAGTACTTGTCACCGCGTGATATTGTCTCATTCTCATGTTTCCCTGAATTAATACATTTTGTAAATTTCCAGCTTAAGTATATTTCGTGACATACTAGTACTGTAATCTTCTCTATCCAATTATATGTAGTAGTATCAGAAAATGAGAATTGTTTCTTTTGTGAGATACTCAAACAGATGTACTGTATAGGTTTCTTCAGAAAATACATGTACAGTACAGCATTTCAAGAACTTCCTCATTCAAGAACTTCCTCAGAGAAGTTAAGACACGTAGGCACAGTGATGGTCATTGGCTGAGAACATTGAAAGAAGACACTACTGTACAATACTCCCCTTATGTCCTGAAGTTTCCAGAAAAAACTAGGATAAACACAGAAATTGAATTAAAAACATGAGGTGAAATAAATATAGAGAACAAACCAACTGCCTGATCACCTAGTAAGCTGACAAGTGATAGAAATAATGAAGTAGTAAGTAACCCCATCTGCTTCCTAAAGAAGGCTTTGAGTGTTGCTTGTACCCCTATCCTGTATGACAGAGAACAGATTACTGAGTGAAGGGAACATCAATATGAATGAAGATAAAAATAAAATTTGGAAAAAGTGTCCAGTGAGATAGACGTATTATTCAGCAGATTTTCCTAGAACTACCATTGAGATTTCAATTATCATATTTGGGTTGACCTTGAATTAAAGAAAGGTTGTGTTCCTGAAAAAACATTACTAAATCGAAGTGGATATGCTCAATAAATACAGTACTGTACAAGAGACACTAAGTTCTTGTGAGAACAAAAAATCTGACAATGAAATGAAACTTAACTTTTTAATTGTTTTTTAAGGGAAACTAATTCTAATCAATAATTTGGTAAACATGTTCACCCTAACCAATACTAAGGAGTTCAGTACAAATTAAAATTATTTCTATCTCCAAGAAACTGTGGTGGTTAATGCCCCTATACCGCTGCCCTCCATGACAACAAACAGCAGCCATCAACTGTTGCAGTAAAAGTAACTTGTACATAATAAACATGATACAAAATATATGTTTGTCAACCTTGAGATACCATGGTATGTAGAGCGCAATAAACTTAACTCGTACCACGACCTTCCTAGTCGATACTAAGATAAAGATTTGGTTTTAACTTGCAATTCTCTTTTTACATGCTAAACTATCATTTGATAAGTGACAATTACTTTACTGTTTTTAACATGGTTGTATTTTATGAGCAATTCAAAGGTAACTAGATAACATGATTTCATTGAACACAGTACTTTTTAGGAATGTATTTACTGTATTAAGTGAAGAGTTATTGTGTGATGCTCCCAGATACCTGTGTCAACAACAAAATAATAAATTAAAAAAAAAGTAATTGCTAAGTTTTATGCATAAATTGATGCAGTGGGTGAAAAAAAAAATCTTAAAAAATCTGTACACCGAGTATCCGTAAATTTGGGTCCACCTGTACAGTATATTATTACAGCTTTGTGCGTTAATATGTCTAATGATTTTGAAGCAAATATTTACAAAAATTTTTTCTTATTATAGGTACGCTTGATGAACCACCTAACATGGCGCATCATAGCAGATTTTACACACGACTCTATTATTGACTCAGAAAACTGCGTAATCTTTAAGGAGGTGGAAAAGCCTCTGACTGGTTATCCAGCTACTTTGGCATCAGTCCAAGGTCTTCCATTGATTCTTGAAACAACTTGTAAGTATATTAAGTTTTGTCTTATGCTCCTAATCTATCCTTCTGTAATTCTTGATCAAATATTTTGTATCCAAAGGGGAGTGTCAGTAGAGAATTTACATAAACATTTAAAATTCAGAAATTTTTTTATACTCATTGATACTTGTACTTATATTGAACAGTTTGTCTTAAGCTACATTGATTACTTAGTATATGGAGGATTCTACAGGTAAAGTATTCTGTAACAGCTTAGATTACAGTATTTTGTAATGATTCCCCAGACGAGGAAGAGGAAACCAGACCGGTGAGCCTCGCTTCCATCACCACTGAGCTGGGAAAGCAGGCTAGTCCACGCATTGGTGTTGGAACTCTTCTCTTCAGTAGAGATAACCGTTACTTAGCAACACGTAATGACAACATGCCAGCCACCATATGGATATGGAGTGTACCAAAACTGTCATTAAAGGCTGTACTTGTACATGTCAATCCTGTAAAAGGTGTGGAAATACTGTATCTTAAAAAAAAAAAAAAAATTAAATGTTCTCTAAGAAAAACAAAGTAGAAGTAAGGTGAAATTCAATAAATTGTAAAATAACTGTGATCTCTGAAGGGTAGTTCGGAATTGTATGTTAAAAAATAAATGAAGGGTACAGTACTTGACAGCCTTGTAAATCCTTTTTTTTTTTATGCTTACAGAATTTACTTGGGACCCTCGACAGCCCCGTCTTGCACTGTGCACAGGGAGCAACCATGTTTACTTCTGGTCTCCATTTGGCTGCTTAACAGTTGCCATCCCCGGGGCACCCACACTGCAGATCTCATCACTCAGGTCTTTATTTCCAGCATTCTTTTGTTCACTTGATATTTCACCTGACAGTATTTGGGTAAATTATCTCTTCAGTCCAACCCATTAAACCTTAATTTGGTTTTCATGTTTGTTACTGTATACATCATCATCCAGAAATTACCTGTTGTGTCATTGCTAAATTAGCATTGAGGATTTTTCTAATAATTATTTATGAATCTTGCAAAGCCCTTTACTTCTGATGTCTTCATGGCCCCTGTTTTATTAGCTCATAGATGTATCTGTTGCCCTTGACTTCTAAATATACCATAAGTCCTGTTTCCTCCCAGTATTCCTCAGCTGACATGGGTAACATTATTATGCACTACTTAAATATATCCTCACCTCTTTCTTCTCTTCTCATGCTTTGTGCATCATAATGCTGGCCTACACTCATACAAAGCTGATTTTCCTTCAGACGATACAATTCTAACCAGACCTCAGCACCAGTTAAAGCACTACCCGGTAACTTAACCAGAGTAATCTTGATGACATTATGAATTCACTGTCGAATCCCACAGTTTAGTATGCAAATAAAGAGCCAAAAATGTTAAATGTTTTTAAACAGCCAACACAACATGCCTTTCACTTAAACAAGAAAAACATTACAGAAGATTTGAATTCACAGACATTCATAGACTTATCATCCATTTTCACCATTTTAAATGTATACTATACAAACAGTAGGAGCATTAAAAATATAATAGACTTGCTGAGAGCGGTTGTATGTACCGAGAATGTAGACGTCATAGCAACCACCGAAACTTGGATGAATCTGGCGAGCAAGAACTTTTTATCAGAGTATCACACAAAAGGGTACAACCTTTTACACAAGGACAGGGAAGGTAGGAAGGGGGGCAGGGGTCACACTCTTCGTCAGGGATACATAAAAATATTGTTTTAATAATACAATAAAGGGTGAAATCGAAACTGAGTCTGTATTGGTATAAATTGCGGAAGGAACAGATAAACTAATTATAGGAGTGATTTACAGGCCCCCAAGTCTAAGAAAAGAAGCAGCTCAGCCCATATGGCAGGAAATGAGTAGGGCAGCAGGATACAACAACCTGTGCATTATGGGGGATTTCAACTTCAGAAATACTGACTGGGACAACATTATAGGTGGCTATGAATCTGAAGACTTTCTAGATGCAGTTCAGGAAAAAAATTTAAAACAACTTATTACAGAACCTTCTAGACGTGACAGTATATTAGACCTAGTATTAACAAATAAAGAAAATATTATCAGAGATATCACAGTAGGGGAAGAACTAGGGAACAGTGATCACAGTGGAATCGGATATACCCTAAATTGGGAAACAAAAAATAATGACAATATGGTCAGTCCCAGACTTTCAATCAGTAGATTATGAGGGTTAAGAAGGTACCTAGGTGAGGTCACCTGGGAACGGTCAGGTCAGTCTCCGGTAGGAATGGGTGAGGTCACCAGCGACACGACAGTTGATGACGACTATACTAAATTCACTAGTATACTATGTAAAGCACAGGAACAAAATATACCATACAGAAAAATTAGGTCAAATAAGAATGAGCCAAGATGGATGACCAAAAAAATTAAACATGACATAGGAATAAAGAAAGGAATTTATAAGAAATTAAAGGGAGGGGAGAAGCATCTCAGAGATAGGTATAAGGAACTACAGTATAAGTCCAAAAATCCGGATGCCAGAAATCCGGACCACCTGAGAATCCGGACTTTTCGAAAACTCAAACTTTTTTTTTTTTTTTAGCTGGCTTTTGTGTGTATGTGCTCATGCGTGAGCGCCACAGCTGCACAGCAACAACAAGCGACCACGCGGTCGCCACTTTAAAACGAGCAATCAAACTGTGACAACGTGTGTAATTTTGAGTCCTACTCTTTCCATTTAGAGCCCATAATAATGGCTCCTAAAGTAGATAAACTCCGTTGTGTGAAGAGAAAGAAGAACACATTGAAATTGAGTGACAAACTTTAAATAATTAAAATAGAACGTGGTGTGAGCAATACTGTTCTAATGGAAACATACAACATTGGAAAGTCTACAATTTATGATATAAAAAAGGCAAAGAATAAAATTCTAGAATTCACAGCTTTTTCTTTAAAACTGCTCGTTTTGATAAATGAATAAACTATCAAAATGTATCTGTTCATCTCTTCTTTATTCCTCCTTAAATTTGAATTTTAAAAGTACTGCCTGAGAATCCGGAAAATCCGAAAATCCGGACTGACCCAATCCCCAAGTAGTCCGGATTTTTGGACTTCTACTGTATCTAGGAATGTTAAGAAAAATGTACAGAAGGCTAAGAGGGACTATGAAATCAGGATAGCAAGAGAATTCAAGGCAAATCCCAAGGGATTTTTCCAGGTGTTATAGGACAAAGGTCAAGGACTAGGTGGGACCTTTAAAGTCAGAGAGAGGGGAAACGATTGATGATAGTGAGGAAATAAGCAAAGCATTAAACTTAGGGGTACTTGTAAGCCCGGACCTACGGCCTAGAAAACAGTGCGTTAATGTTCGAAATAAGGCAAACAGAGTATTAGGTTTTATATCTAGAGGTGTAAGTAATAAGAATATGGAGGTCATATTGCAATTATATCTTGCGTTAGTCAGGCCACGCCTCGATTATGCTGTTCAGTTCTGGTGCCGTTATTATAGAATGGATATCAATTCACTGGAGTTGGTGCAGCGAAGAATAACGAAAATTATTCCGAGACTTAGAAACCTTCCCTATCAAGGTAGATTAAAGAAACTAAACTTGCATTCCCTAGAAAGACGTAGAGTGCGGGGAGATATGATAGAAGTATTTAAGTGGGTGAAAGGAATCAATAAAGGGGATACAGGTAGTCCCCGACTTACGACTGCTTGGACTTACGACCGCCGCAGTTGTGATCATTTTTTTTTTTTTTTTTCTCCTCAAATGGCGCACGCATTTTCTATACCGAATCGTTTCCAGTTAATGTAGTCTCCATGTATAATTAGAAAATTATGGGGGTCCCATGTGCATTCAGCTGACTACATTAAAGGTAAGTGCTCAGTCACACTGTATCCATTCCTCATTATTATTACTTTTACTGTACTGTATCCATTCCTCATTATTTATTACTTTTAGTGTACGTACTGTATTTCATTGTAGATTTTATATTTATATTTAATTTTTTACGACCATTCAGACTTACGACCTGGGTTTGGCTCCCTAACCCCGTCGTAAGTCGGGAAGCACCTATATAGATAAAGTTCTTATAATATCCGAGCAGGATAGGACTCGGAGCAATGGATTTAAGTTGGATAAGTTTAGGTTTAAGAGGGAGATAGGAAGAAACTGGTTCACATAGGGTGGTAGATGAGTAGAACAAGCTTAGCAACTTTGTAGTAAGTACTGGAATGCTGGAAAGTTTTAAAAGGAGGCTAGATAGATTCATGGACTATAGAGTGGTTGTAACTCTCGACAGGCGCTGCTATGCACAGGCCAACCAGCCTATTGCAAGCTCCTTATGTTCTTATATGATTTGACCCAAATCTTAAGGCTTGCTTCTATTATGTCACTAAGGGTTCGTCCTTTGTAATACTAATAATAGGTGCTTACACAGTTAACAGGTACATCATTGTGCCATGTTTTATCTTTCATTACATTATGACTGTAGCTTCACTTGTGAGTGGTCCCTGGTTTGTTTCACAGCAGGAGTGGGAAGACTGGGCTCTCTCCTTATACACAAAGTTAGTAACATTCTTGCCCCTCGTAGGAACAAGATTGTTACTAACTTTTGTCTTATCATGGGTGGCTGAGAACAAGTTACTATTCCAGTGTAGGAAAGTGGTTTTTAAACATGCTCGTACTGAACATTATCATGGCACAACCTTAGTCAAGATAGTAGGCAGTTCTGCAGTGTTCATGGTCCCAAACACTTGTTTCTAGGGATTTTATCAATCAATCAACTTTTTTTTTTTTCCAATTCCTTTTGTTTCTGGTCAGGATACTTACAAAAAAAATTCTTCCAACAGATGGCATCCTTCAGGTTCTTCTATAGCCTTGATGGGACGTGACCAATTCTCAGTCTGTTTCTTTGATGGCCAGCCAAAGATGATGGGACTGAATTCCAGCGCTTAATCATTAACTCAGGTTCTCGTTTTTACTAAGTTCAATATTTGGGAAAAATAGATGGCGAGGGGACTTATATGATGATTGCTTGAGCATCAGATTATTTCTGGAGGGTCTTCCATATTTATGAGCTTGTAATATTAAGTCTCATTTCTTATCTTCCCATGGAAAAATATTTTCAACTTATGTTTAGTCATTCATCAAACTAAAATTTCAGAATTCTTCTTTAATAGGAAAATGCACTTCACTCCAAACTCTTCATTTACTCAAACTTTGTTGCCTGTCATCTCAATCAAGTCCTTTTTGTATTTCCATAACTTCACCAGCTGCTCTCGGTTTCATTTTGAATTGTGTGCAGTTCTCATTGAATTTTATTATTGCATCCTCATGAAACTTGCTGCCTTCTGATCATCATAATGTTATTTAAAATTATACTCTACTTTAGAGTTTTTGATCATAAGCTGTTTAAAAGATAAAGGCAATACAGTAGATTCATTTTCAGTCTTCAAAACTGTACATTGGTAATGAAAACAAAATAGACTTTGGTAAATGGAGGCAAAGAATGGATATAAAGGATGAGCATGACTATTAATTCTACGAGAGATTAATAAAGTTTTTGAAATAACAGAAAAGAACATTACTAAAACAACTTCTCGACCAATATATAATGATACCACTCAGTTACCATGGATGTGAACTGCTGTCACTTCCTGCTATAGTGGAGATTAGAGTATTAGTTATTGACAGACGACATACACTGACAAGGTACAAAAAAATAAGACTTTTTAGCATAAACTTGTACATTAATAAACCAGTGAGGATCAAGATGCAAAGTTGTGAAAGTATGATTCAGGGTAGAGATGTGCATCAACAAAACTGAAATGATTCTTCAGAGCTGTTCTTCCTAATGTGTTCAAGGTGAAAGGAAAAAATAATAATTATAACATATAAATTAATAAATGTATAATTTCAAGAAACAATGACAAAATAGTTCTTCCAAGGATTTAGTGTCCATTTGTTGTTGCTAGTCAGGGATGGTAATCTAAATATTGACTGTGTTATGCAATGAAAATAAGTGTATATTTCTGGGTAAACTATATTTTTTATAATCTAAAATAAATAAAGTTATCTTCCATCTGTTTTAGACAGTTATTTCTTAGCCTTAATATATTATTTTTAAATGTGAATTACCAAGTGAGGTAAAATGGGAAGAGTAAAGAACAGGACTACACATTGGAAACTATCGTACAGTACAGGCTGCTCTCACTTATTGACTTAACAAGAACTAAATTTTCACAAATGCAGTTTACTTCTTATCAAACCATATCCTACCTGCTTACTAAGAAGCTAATAAAACCGCCTAGATAACAGCACACATTTTTAAGTACTGGTTGTTTAGTGTAGAGGTGAGGTGAAATGATAATGTGGCGACTCTTTCAAGGCCATACCTCCCTCTGATAATGCTCCAGATCACCCACTGTACCTACATGACCTGCAGCCTAATAACAGGGAGTGCTAGCAAACAACTGAGGTGGATGGGCCATGTAGTTCTGTATACTCAACAAACATCAGCCTCTCCTTAAGCAAACAGATTGTATTGGTAAGTAGAGTACACTTATTTATAATGTTCATTCTATTGATTTTAAGCTATTCAATTATTGTATTAAACTACTATTACCGTAATATTTGCATGAACACAAAATACAGTTCCAAATCAGTCAAAAGCAGGAATTTAGCTGTGGCTGGGAACATAACCCCATTTTAACTATAAATATCTATCTTCATTTATACCAATTTTACTTTAAATTACTTTTTCTAGGAACACAACCTTCAGTATAAATTAGGGCAACCTGGCGTAAGGCAAGGAGTGAATGTTGAGATGAGATACTGCTGTTTTGGTCATCTCCTCCTCTACTCCCAATGATAACAAGGAAGCAGAGATACAGAAAATACATAAAAACACAACAAACATTTTCCATATACAAGGCATTCCGCAGTAGAAGCGACACCCTGGCCATAATATGTTTTTTGATGGATATCACTATTTTCACCCTTCCTCTACACGTTGGCGTTGGATGTAACCCTCTAGCTAGAATAGAAATATGGTAGAAAGTCCCTAAAAAATAAGGAGTGATTTCGCCTCAGGCCTGGAGCTATGTATCTGGCTGTGCGCTTAGTCAAAGAAAGTGGCAACATCCCGTTCAGAGCGAGAGGAGCTCGAGCCAATGACAGCGCAACTCCCTCGGACCATACCCCCTGAGGCAGTCAATCACAATGTATTTCCCCTTGCTACGTCACAGCTCCTTGGCCAATCTGGGCGCCCAGATGCTTCCTCCTCTTTAGTTTTGGTGCATATTTTAGCATAGGAGGTTCAATGAATGTTCTACTGCTATTTTGGATAACTTTTCAGTGTAACATTGACGTTATTCGTGTTCCACGGGTGTGAGAAGTGCTGTGCACAATCTGCCTGATATTAAAGCAAGACTCGAGTGAGGCCAGGCCTTCTGGTGTGGGTTCAGGAGCCCATTATTCCTGAGCGTGTGTTTAGTGACGCCAGTGCTCACGAGGAAACCCCAGCCATGCTTGATGATAGTGATTTTGGTGGTGAATTTAGTGTTGATTATGGTGATACAAGTGCTACTGGCGATGGTGCAGGTGACGTGCATGAGAATGTTGGTGATGAGCTACTTGGTGATGTTGGGGAGCCCAGTGTTGGTGGTGGTGGTGGTGGAGCACCACGTGATGCAGATTTCAGGGGTCAGGAGCGTACCCCTCAAGGCCTTATAGGAAAAAAAGGCAGGATGAGAGAGCATAGGGTTGACGAGTGGGCACAGGAGGTTGCCAAGCGTAAATGGAATTTGAGTGAGGAGTATTTAAGGTAAAGCACCAAGAAAGTAGTCAAGGCGAGGCAGGTTGGCCCTCCCTGCCCAGACTGCTGCTTCGACAAGCTTGGCAGGGATAACATCAACACCATTTTCACCAATTTCTGGGAAATTGGTGACTATAACACCCAGAATGGCTACCTGCAAGCACTCATCAGCGACGTGCCCTTGAAGAGAAAGCGGACTGAAGCTGAAGTGACCCATCGACTTTTTAACTACCATTTTTTTGTGAAGCTTCGGCAGCACAAGTTTAAGGTCTGCCGCCAAGGTTTCGCTTCTATTCACGGGCTTGGCAAGAAGAAGATGGAGATCTTGATGCATAAGAGGAAGGAATCACCAAGTGGAACGCCCATCTCTGACAAGCGAGGACATCATCCATCCACTAGGGCCATCACAGAGAGCCGCCTGCAATGTGCACAAGCACATTCGTGTCCTGCCAGTGCTCGCTAACCATTACAGCCATTCACACAGCCCTCACAGGCGGTACCTGAAGGCCTGGAGCAGCATCACCGAACTCCACAGCATGTACCTGATGTGGATGAGCGAACACTATCCTGACGAAGAAACTGTCTCAAAGAGTTTTTACCACACTGTGTTCACGAGGGACTACAACATCGTGTTCCGTGCTCCTCTTACCGACGTCTGCAACACCTGTGAGAAGCTGGAGAGCCAGATCTTTTCCCTCCAGAAGGATGGTCAGGACATCAGCGACGTGAGGAACACCCTGAGGGAGCACAAGGCCATCGCACAGGTGCCTCGGGACCTTCTTCACCAGGCGGAGCAGGGTGGCCCTGGGAATGGTGATGTCAAGATGGTGGCCATCGACCTGCAGCAGACCCTTCCTTGCCCCCGTCTACGTGCAAGCAATGCCTACTATAAGCAAAAGTTGTGGGTGTACAACTATTGTGTGTACGACATGGACAAGCGGGAGGGTAGCATGTTTGTTTGGGACCAGGAGGCAGGGGGGCAGACGAGATCGCTGAAGTGGCCAAAGGTGAGGAAGGACGATCATGGCGAGGCTTTAACCCAGCTACAGGTCTTCTGTGATAACTGCGGCAGCCAGAACAAAACAGTTTCATGATTCTCATGGCCCTACATTAAGTACATGTCGCACGTCTCGCCAGGGTCGACTTCATCATCATGAAGACCTCATACCTCCTTTGTGACAGGACCTTCGGCAGCATTGAAAAGAAACTGAGGAAGACGTCCCACATCTACAGCCCCTTGCAATATGTCCTCATCATTGGCAAAGCAGTCAAGAAGGGCTTCCCGGTTATTGTAGTGCAGAGGGAGGACTTCTTGGACGTATGAACCCTCCTCAACTATGCCACTACGCGACCAGCACCCGGGTTCGCCCAGGCCTGCCAGCTTGCCGTAGACATGGGGTTTCCTGAAGGATTCATCAAGACGGACTATTGCCCGGCTGATGTGGAGGGGAACATCATCAAGGTCCGCTTGATGAAGGGAAGAGGACGCTGGGTGAAGGAGAAGTTTGACATCTCCCAGGAGGTACTCTCGCCTAAGTACCTACACGACAGGCTGCTGGCACCAGAGAAGGTCAACGACCTTAGGAGTCTCCTGAGCCTTCTGGAGGGTAGAGCCCAGAAATGGCTCCAAGCCTTGATAGCCAGGCAGGACAACCTCAGAGGGGCAGGTGAGGTTCAGCAACGTGAAGTGTTGGTCGACAATCAGACAACACAACTCTTGATTACGTGACCCTGGATGCTCCGGGAATGAAGTCACACCTCACCTACCTGTAATATTGACGACCTGGACTGCTAAGGAATATGGCTGCAGGGCTACTCTAAGGATTTAATAATGCTACCTTCTCTGCTGTTTGGTGAGTGTTACTATTTTTTTTATGTTCTCTGAGTCACCTATTATTATCAAACTTATTTTTCTTCCAGAATGACATACATTCTTCATTCTTTGTTTAACTTAATTGTAATTATTAATTAGTTTGTTATTGGGTGTAGGATGTTTTTATATTTGTCATTAATTTGGTAGAACTATAAACTATTAATGTGTTTATGGGTAAGTGCAAGGCTATTACGCAGGGACTTTTAATGAAAAACAGTCATGCTGTTGATTCAGCACGCCCACCACGGCCGCCCTTGCAACACCCTCAGTGCTAGCAGTGTGAAGTTGGTGTATGGTTGTGTGTGTCATGATGCCTTGAGTGTGGTTGCAAAAGATAACTTTTTTTGACATTACTGTACTGTACCTTCCATTGCAATGTCTGGTAGTTAACTTAATACAGTACAAGCAGTACTGTCCTTAAACGCGAGTACGTAGAGGAAAGTGACGCACATACTGCTTCATAAATTCCCTTTAAAAAACATAGGTTTGTGGGACATCCGTTTGTACAAACTCAATGCGACAGTGATGAAACAGATATAGATGATAATGACGGTGAAAGTGAGCTTGAATAGATGAAACTGAGTACAGTGGTCCCTTGGTTAACGAACACAATTCGTTCCACAGAGTCGTTCATTAACCGAAAATTTCGTTAACCGAATCCATTGTTTCAATGGGATATTGAGTTATTGGTTCCAGCTCACAGAAAAGTACATACAAAGTAAAAAAAAAAAAAATGCAGTAAAGTACACTTACTTTGAGGTGTGTATGTAGAAGGTTCCTGGTTGTTGATGATGATGGGAATTAGAAGTGGGAGTGGAGGAGAAGGGAGAAGAGAAGGAAGTGGGGATGGAGGAGAAATTACCTTTCAGGGGACCCATGCTTGATGCAGTAATTTCACCAATAAAATTTTAAGTTCACTTGGTGTAATTCAAGATTATTTTATTTAAATCAACACTGCACTGCGCTATATATTATCAATATGTTAACTAAATTTCAGAATGACCAATAATTTTAATGTAAACATGAAAAAATATTCAAGACACCAACAAAATTGATGTTCACTCCACTGTCAACAAAGCCAAACTGACTCTTGGTGGCTGAGTCAAGCAGCTAATGGGCGCACAAAAAACTAGTTACCTGTACTGCATATATTATCAATATACTGTATATCAATATATTTTATAATGACTAATAATTTTAATTTAAAAAATGCAAAAAAATAATAAAGAGCACAACTCTCTTGATATTTACTCCACTGGAAACGAATGTAAAAATAGAACAAATTACTGAATTGGCAGACTAGCCCATCAGCTGATCAGCTTATGCTCACAACAAAATGTGTTTTTCGTAAGGATTTCGTTAATCGAAGTTTTGTTCGTTAACCGAATTGAAGATCCTTATG